ATATATATATATATATATATATATATAATCTGCACTACGGTTTTTATGTGGGTGGCCACCTTATTACTCCGTGTAAGAACACCACATATAAATATGCAATATGTGTCACTAGCTTACGCCCTTTCTCAACATTTTCTGTCCCAGACGCTCTTTTCACAGTCGATCCCGCATTGGGAAACGAACCATGTGCTAGCTATCGCTCTAGATCATTTATGAAAAGGCAGCTCTTTGTGACAAAAACCAAAAATACAGAATATAAGTACGTTCCTTAGTATAGTAAGAACACGCAGGCAGTCTAAGACAGTCAACATCGCTCAAGTTTTCAGAAGAGTCAGAACTTCAATTTGGAATCTAGTGGTGAAGAGAATGCAAGATGCAATAGCATGCCTAATGCAATATACCCTATATGCTTACAAGCAATGCGATAAATATATATTTACTAATATACAATACAATATAATATAATGACATGAAAGCAATCAGAGAATGCATATCCCTAAGGATTTCCTTAGAGAAATAAATCTTTGAGCATCAAGGTTATGTGTTGGAACATATTTATGAACAATTAAACCATCATCAACCAAATTTCTAGTAGAGTGGCAACGCATGCTAGTACGCTTAAGAGAATGTTGAACAGAATATTTGGAAATATTAGCCGCACAAGTATGGTCATAGAAAAGGTCAATGGCTTGTACATCAGTTCCAAATTTAAGAAAAATCTGCTTCATCCACACCTTTTCTGAACAACAAGTTCCAGCCACAAGGTTCTGATCGGTGTAAGAACATCCGTCAGACGTACTCCATTGATCAACGTCATTCACAACCCTATCAACATCACATTCTCTAACAATACCAGAACTCGTATCACATGAGTCAAAAGTCATATAATCAATCAAATAGCAATTATCATGCAATCTAGACCCTATAAGAACACAGTTATTATTCCTATCTGAAACCAAACATTTATTTAAGGTGAAACTCACAGAAAAGCCTTGATCACATAATTGACTCACACTCAGCAAATTGACATTCAAGTTCTCAACCAACAAAACATTATCAAGTTTAGGAAGACCAGGCATGTCCAAACATCCAATTCCTACTACCTTATTACTAACACCATTACCAAAAGTGACAGAACCAGAACCATTAGACACATGTACAACATCAATCAAATTCGATTTAACACCCGTCATGTGTCTAGAACATCCACTATCAAAATACCAATCACGATTAGAAGCGGATTTTGAAGCAAACAGAGATGAAAGACAAGTATGATTCTTTTTGGGAACCCAAATTTTCTGTTGCTTATGGTTCTTTACATCAACCATCAGTTTTGGTGTTTTCATCGGAACACCGGCGGGGTTCCAGTCATTTTATTCTTCCTGCATGCAAATCATTAAGCATCCTATAGCATCTAGGACGAATATGACCAAGAACACCACAATAATGACAAGTAGGAATAAAATTTTTCACAAAACGTTTACGGTGTTCTTTCACAGAAACTGGATCAACCTTACCATCAGAGTTGGAACCTTCTTTCACAAAAGTTAGAGAGGACTTACTCAGAGACGTTCTTGGTTCACCCACTTTACCTTTCAGTTTCTGATTGGAGGAGTTCTTACTCTGGTCTGAACACGCAATCTGATGACTCGACCTTTGAACTTCATCAAATGAGGACTTTGGCTTATTGATCATTTTGACAATCTCCTCACTCTTGCTGAGCTTTTGTTCCAACGTTGAACAATGGCTTCGAAGAGTCACATGTTCTTCCATCACACGACCGAGTTCTTGTTTGAGGGCCGCAATCTCAGAATCCCTTTCACCTATAGTTTTCTGCAATGAAAACATTTCATTACGTAGAGACTCAATGAAAAAATCGTTTTCATCACAT